TAGACTTGTCCACTTTCGACAGGGGTCGAATTAGACCTTGTCCACTTTCTACAGGGGTCGAATTAGACTTGTCCACTTTCGACAGGGGTCGAATTAGACTGCAAACTCAACTGGATCCATACGGTGATTCTGCAGACTGCCAAGAGCGCAGCCTCCTCCTGATAAGCTTGCGCGAGCCCTATGAAACAGTCTATCAGGCATGACCCTTGTCGGTTTCTTCCCGCCCTGTGTGATTCTGCAGTCTGGCAAAAGCGCAGGCTGCTCCTGTCAGGCATGACGCTTGTCGTTTTCTTCCCGCCCTTGCCTGGTTTTGAAAGAACAAAGCATGTTTGAATTCGTCTTAAGAATCTCCGTTTTCTTTTTTCTTGGTGGTTCTCTCGTTATGCTATTTCTGAGCTTGCTGTAATGCGCTGATTGCGGATATGTTCCCGCTGCATCCCTTGATGATTGCGGATATGTTTCCATGCTCTTGTGTAGCGCTCGTCAGATCATAGCTGTTTCAGAATTTCTCAGAAACTACTACTGGTAGCATGCTGCACTACGAGTAGTTTCTGAGAGTACATGCAGATGTCTGTGTATGCGCTTGGAATATCTGTAGACGTCTACAGATATTCCAAGCGCGCATGCATACACAGACATGTGTGGGTGTGATGGACCATCTCCACCCCGAAAATAAGGCCCGGGTGTTGTATACAAATATAATGCCTGGGAGGCGGGTGTTATATTCGTTGTATAACGCCCAGCCCGACATTATATTCAGTAAATTTGTAGCAGCTTTTTGGTGGGGCCACAAAATTTTGAAAAAAGAAAAAAAGAAAAAAAAAAAGTTGTGCGGAAAAGAAAAGGTGTCGAGACTTGCAACCGTGAATGAGGCTCTGAGTGAGTTCTCTCTCCTGTGCAAAGGCCAATTGCAGTGTGTATGCTCCTACTCACGGGTCATCGAATGACCCCTTTTTCCTTGGCGTGTGCCTCTTCCTCTGGGTTTTCACCGCTGTCCTCCATCTGCATATCTCTGCTTGCTCGGCAACACCATTTTACCCCTTGCACTCCCCTGTTCCCCTGCCATTGCAATGGGCGCCGTGAAATTCCATCCCTGGTTGTGCTTCTTTGTACGTGTGGATGCAGATGTGTTTCGTTTTGCTCAGTTTGTTTCAGCTCATCTGGCCTGCACGGGCACCTCTTGGATTTGCTGTCGCTTCTCTTCTTATTCACTTTGCTCCCATGGGTGGATGCAGAGGCATTTAATTCCGGTCAATGCCAACCCATCTGGCCTATATTTGAACTTTCTCTATCTGCAGTCCCTTATCTTTTATCCCCCTCTCAAGGTTTGTTAGAATGTCAGTGTTGTTGCTGTGTTGGATTACCTTGATGTGACCCTTTTTTTTTTTTTTTACTGCATCTGAATGGACTTCCTAGACTGTAGCTGAAGCATCTCTCTCTCTCTCTCTCTCTCTCTCTCTCTCTCTCTCTCTCTCTCTCTC